AAGCCAGAATTCAGGTTTCAGGTAAGTATCCATTCCTCAGGGAATAGAAATGGTATGTCCAGACTGAAGGTTAAACCAACTCCTCAGCCACTGACCAATTTGGAGAATTGTAGATTCTCAAACTAAACAAGAAACAAGGAAAACAACCTCTGCCAGCACTAGGATACAGCATTTTTCACTAGTGCAAGGAAGTGCATAGCTCATGATTACATTTATTAATTGCCCAGAATCACCCCGAGAGGGAGGTCATTACCACGTCTATTAGCAGACGTTAAAGAGTAGATAAGCCTGGGGAGACACAATTGTTGACAAAGCTGGGACTTGAACCAAAGTCTGGTATGAAAATCTGTTGTCCTGTTAATTACATTCTTTCCTGAGAATAAAAAGGATGAAAGATTTATTGTTGGACAAAATAGCTGCTTTCAAATGTGATCACAAAGAAGGAGCTGGAGACTTGTTTTACTTAACACCATGAAAGAGAGCTGGGGCCACGGCAGGGCAATCAAACTTAGGATAAAATAAGAATACTTTTCTAACAAGGACCTGTTTGAAAACTGAAAAGATGCGTGGCTTCCCGAGTTTGAGTCCCCGCCACTAAATGTGTCCGAGAAGAACCTGCTGTGCCAAGGTCTCTTCTGGGCTCTACAATCACTGAATCCTAAGATTCTAAGCAAAATGTCTCTTCTCTAGGAAATCCTTGCTATGAGAATCCTTCTCTCCCCTCTCCATGTTTCCATCCCATCCCAGCTGAGTGACCTTAGCAAATCCAACTTAGGAGAGTGCTTAGGAGTGAAACAGAAATAATACCACCTTCCAGGCAAGGCTATTAAAAGATCAAATTTGACAAGATGTTGGAAATGCTAACCCCTCATAAAGCTCAAATAGTGTTAGTTACCTCTTCCCACACGTCTATGAGGTCAAAGTCAGTGTCAGAATCAGAGGATCCATTCTGGGAGAGCTTCAATTGCACCAAAAGCACAGGGAAGGAAGCGCTCCAGGATGCGAGGTTTCCCCTTAGACATGTCTGGATCAATCATGAGTGTGCATTTGCTACTGACTTGTCTGTGTTTCTGCTTGTTCATGCCCAAGAAAATAATGCAGTGTTCTTATGCATACTTTCAGGCTTTCTGATGTGCATTTCTTAATAAATTCTACATAAAAGCATCAATTAACTTACGTTTTATATGCCATTCACATCCTCTAACTTTTCCATTGATGCATTTAATAAAGTATAATACTATTCTGTTTTATAATTAATCATGAATATTCTCTCTCAACGAGGGTTTCTTGGCCACCAGTCAATCTCTACTGCCCTTATCCTATACTAGAGGCCCGTTGCACAAAGAGATTCATGCAATAGGCCTTCCTTCCCTTGGCTGCCGACACTGGTTTTCCACCGACATCTGGGACCCAGACCTTCACTCCAGCTGCAGCAGAGAAGCCAAGCCTCTTCAGTCTTCAGTCTTTCCTCCGTGCTTGAATATGCAAATTAGCCATCTTTGTTGAGTTAATTTGCATACTCAGCTGATTGGCTAGTGAGCATAGCAGAGTGACACCAATTTGCATGTTTCTCTTTTATTAGTGTAGATAATAAAAGGCTAATATGCAAATTATCCCCAAGGGCAGGAGTTCGACTGATGTTCATTGGTCACCAGTGGGTGGCGCAGAACATGGCGGGTGTCAGCGGTGCTGGCAGCAGGCTGCATTGGAGGCACTGCCGGCCCCGATAGGCCCCAAGAAGAGCAGGACTGCGGCAGGATGGTGGAGCAGGTAAGCGGGCAGCGCCAGCCAAGGCAGGTGCGAGCGGGGGCCCTGAATGCCCCACCAGTTGCCCCACCAATTGGCCCTGATCACCAGCCAGGCCTAGGGACCCTACCCATGCATGAATTTCATGCACCGAGCCTATAGTTTAATAGAGAAAATGTTTTAGACATACAGAAAAATTAGTGTTGCCAAATCATCAGAACTTTTGGCTGCACTCCTGCCTTTTAGTACCTAGGAAAGCTAACTGGAAGACTTTCAAAAGAGAGTAGAATGTATTCAAAATAGATATAACAATTAAGACACATGGATGTGGTTTTTAAAATTCATCTCTGAGGTTCAAGTAGCTATTGATAAGAAAAGGTGTTGTTACAGAAGCATTCCATCATACAAAGAACTTTAAAGAATATATCTGGTGTTTAAAGTAAGATGATGTGTATAGTCTTTATCTCTGTGTAGGAAAAGCATAGTAGTAGTAGTAAGAGATTAAAACTCTAAACAAGTTTAATTTCACTTGAATAGAAAATAATTTATCATTTAAAACTGTATTGTCAGACTATGGCCAAGGTGCGTCTCAGGTTACTGCGGAGGTTCAGAGGCACTCAGAGGATTCTAAGAACAAACTTATTCTGATTCACTGCCCTGGGGTATCTAGGACACCCGTAGGCTCACAACATGTGAGATGATGGTGGCAATTTCGTGTCTTTATCACGCTGAGTGCACTTGTGGAGAAAACCATATGTCATAGTTTAAGGAGCCTTTCCTTATTATTTCCAGCTCTGGAGTGAAGAACAAGCCTTTGTGGGATTACATTTCAAATATGTAGGGTTTATCTGTTGTTCTTTTATTTTTACAAACAACAAAATGAAGTGTGTATGTGTGTTTATGAAGATTAAATAAAACATAAAATAATAAAAATGTAAAGATATCATAATTTGTATCTTAACTTCTCTAAGCACAAATATTTGATCGTAGAAAATAAGTATTTATGGTTTGTGGGAAAGCAAAATAGTCCTAAAAATCACATAAACAAATACATATGCAACAACACACTCTATGATACATATGTATATGCATCAATATGTATACCTATAAATGTTATATAAAATAGGGAAATCTTAAAAATAAACAGAAGATGAATGTTTATTTCTTTAACAGCCTTTCCCATACATCTCGATATTTAAAAACATAACAACCTGAGAATTGTATTGTGTTAAAATGTCTGGACTATAAGTGGGATAAAAGTCAGATATAATCAGTACAAGGAAATATTTAAAACAAAACAAACAACCCAAAACAAGCTTTTTGTTCCTGACCTAATGTTCCCAGCTCTGTACCTCAGAGACTCTCTAGTCAGTAGAGAGAAGATGAATTACATCAGAAGGAAAAAAACTCGAAGCACCAGAAATCACAGGCTATGATAAGTCTACTGTGTCTGGTTCATAGGGAGGGAAATCGAAAAACTTGGCAAAGCACTAAAGGGGAAAAAAAAAATAACCTAGCCATTTCAGAAATGATTTTCAACAATTATTTATTTTAGAAAATGCAACTCATTGTTTTTCAATTTGTTTTCCTTAAACACAATGAAACGCAACTGAACAGGAATTAGGGGTATTAAATTAAAAGTGGAAATTTGTTTTGATAGCCTCTAAATCTGAAATTATTATATTCCTATCTCCTTCCAAGGGTCGTACTCTCAACTTGACTGTTCTGTTCCTACCCTCCCTCAAAGGCATCGTATGTAGTCACTAATTTCCATTTTACCAACAATTTCCAGTGCCCTGATTTCGGTTTCCCAGGAAGTGTCTGCTGTGTAGCACGCCGCTGTTAGTGACAGTAATGATAAAATCACAACTGCTGCTGGTGAGTCAGCAAAAGGAGGAATAAAGTGCTCAGCATCTTATCTAGAAAAACGCATGACCTGCTGCTAGTTCTAAGTTAGCTCCGAGTTTTAACCCAGCAGCACTCTGGTCAGATCTAACCACCATGCTTGGCTGGTAACAGGTTTTTCCAGGGCCCCAGTGCCTTTGAAAAACTAGACTTTTCAGCCGGCCCGTACACCCTTCAGACTGAAAATAAATGCAACAAAATTTTATTGGGAATAAAACCCCCTACACTATCAATATTTTAAATGTCTTCCCAAATAAAATACAACAACAACAACAAAATAACAGATGTTTACAAGACAGCCTAAGGGAAGCCAGAGAGAAGATAGTGGCTTCCACGCTTACTTTTAGGCATGAATATGAATTACTTTAAATCGTGTACTACCTATTAAGTCAAAATGCAAAACCGTACGAGTCAGTACTAATCAGAAAAGGAGACAGCCAGCAGTACAAATTCCAACAGACATCACAGCATTTTTACTAAAATAAATTCTTGGTAATAAGTGGTCCTTGGGGGCTGGGTCAGACAGCAAACAAACTTAAGAGACTATCTTCTCCCTGCGAGTCACCTTTATATTTCATCAAAAGAAGGGCATCTTCAGTTTACAACCAGGATTCTATATAAATATCGCAAGGCAGTGCTCTCCCCTCCATGTACACATAATTGTAAAAGAATACAGTTATATAGCAACATGCTATGGTTTCAAATTTATTATAAACTTAAAAATAAATATTTATTTTTAACATTCTTTTTATTATTAAAACACTATAGAACTTCCTGAAGATTATTTCATCTTCTCTATCAAAAGAAATTGTCCTTATACTATAAATCAGCTCTATCTATTGTCTGCTTCAATATGACTCTATTTTAACATATGTTTATATTTAAGATAGCAACAAAATAAGCTTTAAAAAAGGAAATAATCATTTTACCCTCTAGCATCAAAAAATCTGCAATGCCTCTAGCCAATATATTTCAATCCGAGAAATGCACTTGATTTTAAAAGTAATATTTTGATAAGTAACACAAATTATTTAATAACATTGCTCATCACTTCTAATGCTTTCTTACTTTCAAACAAATGTCATCCCTTTAATGATAATGCAATTCCCCTCCCCACCCCCCATCCCCCACCACAAGGGCTAATAAACTTTGACAATCTGAAACGTGAACTTGAATGTGAGCTTGAATAATTGCTGTTTTAATTCAACCAGTTGCAATGGAGAATGTAAGCCCTTTGAGAGCTGACATCTAAACATATGCGAGAACTATGACTGTCAAACCCAGCCAGCCCTCAGTAAATATTGCGGGCTAGTCACTGTAATGGGACTATTGCAGACCGAGAGACCCACCTCAGGCTCAGGGCTAGCAGTTGCTCCTTTGACCTCAGTAGCTCCCCCACTTTAAAACTGGCATAGCCCAGGAAGCTCCGCTGAAAATGAGAGAAAGAACAGTTTTCATTAACTTCTGAGGTTCCTAATATATCTGCTGTCATAGCGATCACACAAAATTAGTCTCTAGAAGAATAAGATGTTAAATCTCGTAGCCTGATAAACATTTCACGGACAGAAATACAATCATCACTGATATATCCACCTCATGGGGTAAGTCTCAGGGGTGCAAATGCATTCTTTTCATTAAAAACAAAGACAAACAGCCTGGAAAATAACAAAATGTGTGACACAGAAGCCAGGACTGTTCCACTAGCTAATTTTCTCCCCATATGAAAGCTGGGGTAAAAGAAAGATGCTAACTTTCAATATTTACCAATGCCACTGTCGCTCTTATTAGAATTCTTCGTCACTGGTAGCAACAACGCTGTATTCCAGATATGAGCAAATCTGGTTGTTGGAGCTATTTTTATGTGGGACTCTGGACAAGTTATAAATAGAAATGCTCTATTTTCCCCCCATCACAGCAATGCTTAAAAGCGTTTGTTTCCTTTGTTATTTCTATCCTAGCATGGGACAATTTCATCCTGACACAAAAAAAATAATGGGACTTGTTCAGTTACATTTTCTAAAATTGCTTTTTTAACCTATCATACCGGGTGTTGACTATCTATGAATATCTACTTTCTCCACTCTTTGACTCATAATGTAAAGAATAAAACTCTAAATTGGTTGTGCTTTTCCCAAATAAAAAAATATTTCATCTCTTTTTAATATTCCTGGCTTCTTCTGATTTAAAAGTCACAGTATTGTGGTATACCATAAATAGGATTTCTCATTCTCCCCTCAAGGTCAAGAAGTAAAGAAGAAAATATCAAACCCATATTACTGTCTGTGCCATTGCTGCCTAACACATTGTAATATGCTACAAGATCAGCACTACATCTTCCAGAACGTTCTGTCTTCATAAGTCTGCTATCAGGCTTCCCTAGAATGAGAGACCGGAGGCCAGTTGGGTCTTTTCAGAGGAAAGTGTGCAATTATTCCGTGCATAAAAGGCTGTGTCCATGCTGAGTAATTGTTGATAACAAGAAAGGAAAGCTTCTGGTCCACATTTTTCTCCCTCTTTTCCAAGTTCTAACATAGAAGAACTGTTCCAAAAGGCTTCAAGGCAAACATTTGAAATAAACTCAGTTTTTAAATTAGAGATGCTTATATGTTAGTGGTGATAAACCCAATTCATTAACTTGAAACTCAAAGAGATGGTTTAGACACTGAGTCACCAAAGCCAGAAGCATATAATGCTAAATTGTTAGGTGGGGACTGTTAGGTGAAAATAGAGGGTTCGTGAAAATACTGGCTCACGGAGGGATGAAATGAGTGTGAACTGAGGCACAGAAGGATGCCCAAGAGCTGTGTGAACAAAGCCTGAAGAAACACAGGGCTGAGCAAGCCCACGAGAGATCAGCTGAACAGAAGCAGTACGCGACTTCATCAGAGATACTAGCTACAGCATCCTTGTATACAAGAGCACGGAGACTCTGCTATTCCTGGTTCCCGGTCCTGTTGGGTTTTTCTTTATTAGCACTTATCACAACACACACACGCGCGCGCGCAGACACACACACACACACACACACACACACACATCTGCTTATTCTGTACCCCCAAATAAGTGATATTTGAGGCTCCTCAAGGAGCTTTATTCTGATTTCTGATACCCTCCCCCCACAGTCTAGCATAAAGCAGGCATGTGATAAATATTTACTGACAATGAATGAATGAATGAATGAATGAATGAATGGGATAGTCATAGCTTCAAGTAAGTTATTCTATTAGATCGAGGAGAAATGCTCTTTCTGCAGATATTTATATACTATAATTCATTGAAATGTGAGAAATCAAAACAATGGTAGTGTGTAGATTGTATGCTGTTGTAGTAAGTTTCATTTAACATTTTGTATTTTAAAGAGGTTTCACTTTCTCTTTCACTGATAATCAGCGTTTTTCATTTACATTCCATTTCTCACTTATTATCCATTCTCAAAGAAAACTTTTAACTGATCAGAAACTCCATAATTCCTCAGCATTTGCCTTTTGAGATTCTGAAGGTACAAAGGGTTTTGGAATAAATTAAAAACTACACATGTCATGAATGTTATTGTGGTCTCTTCAGCAAGAAAACGAGCAAATGCCCCAGACTGGAATGCAGCAAGGAGACAGGTGGAGTGGCTATTTCCAGACATGGGCAACAGACACGACATGAGGCACAGCTGCAAGTAGGGACTGTGACCATAAGCCACTGACTGTCTCTCCTGTCCACCAGACCAGGAGCTGCTGTGGAAGCAGGACCTTGGCTTGACCATTTTTGAGTCAAGCCCAGCACCTGGAACAGAGGGGCTGCACTGAGAATGCCTGCAATGTGCCAAGAATGCCCGTTGGTCCGTCTTGTCCATCACAACTGTCAGCCACATGCCTAATCTCAAAGGATAATAAGAGATCTTACAGAAATAACACAACATGTTAAAAATCAATCTGGGGAAAAGGCGCCCTAGCATTACATTATAAAAATGTATCAAACTAGAGGAGGTGTTATGTAGGTATAAACGCTACCATATTTATTTAAAAAAAAACACAAAACTATCCTGGGACTACATGTTGCATAAAATGCATAAATGAAACCACAAAATTTCATGATAATGTATAATTATTTCACATTGCAACACCAACAATGGCATTGCCTGCCTATACATTTATTTTCTAGAAGGTTTTTATGTATTAGTTTTACTTCAAAATAAATAAAACTAGGTCCCTCTGCACCTGCCCCCCCCCCCAAAAAAAAATGGAAAACACATCATTCATTCCCATGAATATTCACTGGTCTCCGGTAAAAGAATGAATTAGAGGGAAAACAGTCTTTATTTTTGAAACCTGAATTCCTATGAGGGGAAATAGCCAACAAGAATGTAAAATAAATAATTTTGTTTCACCTAATGCAAAAGGATAAAAATATAAAACTATTTCGTCTTTGCTGTTACTGTAATCATAATCATAAATTTTTTTAAGTTTTTTAAATATTTCAAGTAGAACTCAAGGAACAATGTTTTCCATCTCTCCTTTGGTGCCTGTTTCTAAAATTCTCGCCTTAAAGGCTTTAAACTGGAAGCTCCAATATCAGGGGGAAAATAAACAAGACAAACAAAGCATGTCAGCCTCCCTAGAGCTGGAGCTCAGAGGTCTGAAGTGTAGTCCTAAACCAATCATTCTGTTTCAGATGGAAACCAGGCAATTCCATCATCCCCCCAGGCCTCGGGCGGGGTCCGCTGATGGCACTGCCAGGCCTTGTTTCTCTGTCTTCTCCTTCACAAACCCGCGCTCTTGGATAAGCTACTCCACCACTCTAGGCCTTACTAGTAGTTTCTGTATGAAAAAGGTGCCTATGATCACGGTATATCTGTCTCAGAGTCGTTGTCATTGGAGCCGAAGCTATCCAGGAAAAGCACTTAGTGCGTTGCTCAGAAAAAAGGAGGCATTCCATGGTATTAGCTGTCACAGTGATTAAGATGATACACTCAAGCCCTGGCCGGGTTGCTCAATTGGCTAAAGCATGATCCTGTGCACCCAAAGGTTGGAGACTCGATCCCCAGTTGAGGTGCATTTGGAGGCAATCAATTGATGTTTCCCTCTCCTATCAATGTTTTGTATTTCTCTCTCTCTCTCTCTCTCTCTCTCTCTCTCTCTCTCTCTCTCTCTTTCTCTCTTTATTTTTTGAGAGGCAGAATAAAAATAAAATCAATAAACCTATCCTCAGGTGAGGATTTAAAATAATAATAAAAATCAATAAACATATCCTCAGGTAAGGATTTAAAATAATAATAATAATACACTCAAAAGTCAGATGACTGAAAAGTGTTATAAGTCTACTTTAAGTACTTTTTGGAAAAGTCAGAGTATTTAAAAATATACACACATATTTTCTCATATAGTCTATGAGAAATTCCCGCAATACACAGACACACACACACACACACATTAAACAATAGGTTCAGAAAAAATATAAATTAAAAGAAATACTAGATTACAAGTGCAAAAAAAAACAAGGATTCAAAGTTTGCATGGTCCTATCAGTTACTGTTGTTGCATGTTACTTATGATTCCCTATAGCTCATATTTTTGTCAGATCACATGGAATGTTCAGCAGTGCCCAAGAAATGTCCATCTGGAATCAGAGAATGGCAGGGCTTGTTAAGGCACTGCCATTCTGCAGGGGAAGAAACAGACCCAGAGGAGTGAACTGCTTACACCTGGTCACAGGCCAATTCCAGTCCAGGCTTCTTGCTTTTCGGTCCAGCATTCTTCCACCCCCATCACACTAGCCTCATTTCCAAGGCAGGTGGCAATGCCTTTCCTTCTGACAGCGCTCTGCCTGCACTGCACGTGGCTCTGACCTCTCTAGTCTGCTCATGACAGGCAGCACTTACCACGATCGTTCTGGTCCAAGCACCCAAAGCAGGTGATTATTAAATGGCTTCATGCACGATTTCAATCACTCACTTGGCTGGAGTGTGTGATGTCAAGCAGAGGAAGAAAGGAAGGCACCTGACTCAATCCCTGGCTGCTCTCCACAGGGACTGTACAAGTAAGCAGTTTATCTCACCAGCCTTCACAGGGACTCTGAGCAAGTCACAGATATCCCGGATGCTCAGCGGGGTTGTACACCCCCCTGGAGCAGGTCCTCAATGGTCCCCTGGTCGAGCACTACTGCATAAGGAGCCAGAGGATGTACAACCTCATACACATGGCCATGAGCTGGGCAAACCTCTATTAGGTACATTCATCTAACTAAGCCTTTATTAAGAGTACATGTCTCCTTTACAATGAAATTTGCAAGGAAACTCCCAAGATTGTCCAAATACTGTCTAGAGCTGCATTATCCAATGTGTAGCCACCAGCTTGAGCCCTACCTTGAGCTGTAGCTCTCAATTAAGATGTGCTCTAAGGGTGAAATGCACATCAAATTTATAAGATGTGGCATGAGAAAAGGAGTGTGATAAATAATTTATTGATAATTATATTGATTATATTTTGAAGTGGTAATATTTTGCAGATAGTATAGGGTTAAATGAAATATTAAAATTAATCTCACCTGTTTCTTTTTTACTCTTTTAAAAGCCTGGGCTCCTAGGAAGTTTAAAATTACATTTGTGGTACACATTATATTTCTACTGAATGGTGCTGGCTTAGAGGTTATATGGGTACAACAATAATACTTTGACCTATTCTTATAAAACTACATACAGGAACCGTGGTGTACGTTTTCAAAGATCTCTGAAGAGCTGATGGTGATATCATGAGGCTGATACACAACATCTTCCCTCGCATAACCTACAAGGCAGGTCCTTTTTCAGAGCCTGTGTATTTTTTTTTTAACTGTCAAGCTTAATAGTTACGGTTACACGGTTTCCCACCCCACAGGAATGGAAAGTGGATACATGCACTATCCACACTGAATAAAAGCATTGTACCTATGTTTGTGCTCATGAGAGAGCCAGCATTTCAATCATGTGCCACGCAGAGGACTCTGTTAGCCAGCGTTGACCTGAGAAACATCAGAGCCAGCAGAAAGGGACCCTCACCCTCACCGTGGACAAGCAGCGAGGAGCCTGTCCCCTTGCCTCTCCCCTCACCACAGCATGAGCAGCAAGAGCAGGAAAGGGTGGGACATGCGTGAGAACCAGACTATGCTCGCCCCCACCACAGGCTGCTGGAGGCACAGAGATGGCCAGCCTGCAGTGGAAAACGGTGTCAGGAGAGGATGGAAGAAAATACTTTAAAATCAGAGATTCAAGTCTTATAATGAATAAGATGTATTCCAAGAACCTGAATGAGAAAAAAAAATAGCAGGGAAATTCATACAATTACGTCAAGATAGCAATAAAGCTTCAAGCAAGGGGGATTTAACACAGAACAGCTGGGGCGGGAGGTGGACAATAAGAAGGGAAAAATTAAACCATCTCATCCTCAGCCTCAGAAATAAATGGACTTCCTTATAAAATAATTATTAACTTTCTTTAAAAAATATATTTTATTGGTTTTTTTACAGAGAGGAAGGGAGAGGGATAGAGAGTAAGAAACATCGATTAGAGAGAAACATCCATCAGCTGCCTCCTGCACTCCTCCCACTGGGGATGTGCCTGCAACCAAGGTACATGCCCTTGCCCAGAATTGAACCTGGGACCCTTCAGTCCGCAGGCCGACGCTCCATCCACTGAGCCAAACCAGTCAGGGCTATTAACTTTATAATAGTTACAGATTTCAAAAGGCCTTACACTTGATGAAGGATGGGTACAGGGTGTGATGACAGTGTGCAGTGGAGGACCTAGCTTGAAGGAGGGCGCCTGGGGTGGACAGAAACAAAAGGTGTCTGATCTCAACCCAGAGCAGGGAGGGAGACAAGTGCTTGAGCAATGAAGGCCGGAGACTGGGAAGACCTTGCTAGGCCCGCTGGAGAAATTAAAACGAAGCCCCTGTAGTCTAGGCACAGAGACTGGTAGTGAAAGTGAGAGCAGCCCAAGAGGTGAAGGCAGAAAACAAAGCAGGGATATTCTCCTGAAGTCAGAGGTATTCAACCAGCCCCCAAGAAGAAACAAGAATCTTGTGTTAGGCATGAGCGAGCACCAATACCCTTTCCCTTCTACCCTACCAGATTCAGAGATGGCTGGCATTCTTCTCAGGCATATATTTGAAGGGCTGCCTTGCCAGGTTCAGGTGGCATGTTCTGACAGGTTTAAGCAGCAAGAAACAGAAAGCATCACAGTCCTGTGGCTGGTTGGTTCTCTGCCTCCTTCCGGAAGAGGTAGAACTCACGGCTACAATTTCCCTAGCCTCCCGGTGGTCCAGGAGTGTTAGCTGGGAATTGCATCTCAGCTACCTGCAGGGCAACTTCTAGACGCCTTGCTAGCCAGCCGGCCTAAATCCCGATTCACTGGAAGATTATTTTCAGGAGATAAGAAATGTATTCCATGCAACTCAGCAAATACGTGAGAGAGCTTCCTCATATACTCACACCCTGTCAATGTAACTCCATTTCATTTGTCAGCTACTAGGCAGGAAGCCAAGGAAAACCCAAATAATTAACTTCGAAGTGATGAGCGCGCCTTTTGGAAACAAAAGAAGCACTTACCCCAATCTCCGGCAGGGTATCCTTGTGTTCAGGCAGGACACTGGTTCGAACCTATGAAGAAAAACAAGCATTTTCCAGGTGAATCTGGAGTAGAAACCAGTGCAGAAGCTTCGCAGGTGCTGGCTTTACTTTGCTTCGTCTGACGTCAGTGCAGACTCCCTGGTTAATCATTGCTGAAGTACCTGTGTACAAGCCCCACTGTAGAGCAAGGAAGCTGTCCTGTTATAGCTCCCAGCTTTTCTCATGTTTCTGAGTACACAGGACTGCCTGGATCCTCACACACCACCACTTGTCAAACAGAGATATCTGGCCTGTAAGTGGATCAGCTTTAATTTCCATAAAAAGCAACCCTCATTCAATATTCCTGGGAAATGATAGAACTGGTGTAGAGGAAGTTATTCATATATGCTCAATAGATATTTATTCTCTGAATGAGCACCCAAATCCACAGTTCTTATAAGTTCTCCCTCCCACTCGAGAACTCTGGGCCTAATTGTCAGATACCATTATCGATTCACTTGCAAATTAATTCTCAATTGGGGGAGAGGGAAACAGTGTAAAATAATTAGTCATCTGGGTAGGCTTTTCAGAAGTTTGAAAAGCATTCCAAATGAAATATCAACACCTTGGATAATAAGTGTGAAAAGTGTTCCATGTGAACTATCAACGTCTTAGATAATAAGTTGACACCAGTCTTCTGAGCAGTCCCGCTTAACCTGGCTGGGCATTCGAATTCCTAGGGGCCTTTTCAAACTTTGGTGATCTATCCTGCCCTCAGACATGGATCCTTTTTTGAAAAATAAGTACAGAGGTCTTCTATTTTTTTTACACTTGTCATCCATGAATTCATAGGGAATGGGCTCCTGCAGCTCAGGCTCCTTTCCATTGGTTCTCACATAGTGTGTTTCTCTGGGTGGAACAGGCCGGCACTTCAGTTGAACCCAGATACCTTTCTCTTTGACTTCCTTCTTTTTCTGATCATGTTCCTTCACATGTTTCGGGAAGCTAGCTCAGCTCTTAGAGTGCTTACTATGCTGAATCCATACATTAATTCTCTTGGCAAGAATCTTGCCCTTGTTTGTTCACAGCAATGTCCACTGCATGCTGGGTGACACTGTAGACTCTACCAGTTTTGCCACAGGAACAGTTGTGGGGCATCCCTTGATGTCCACAATATTACCTTTCTTACAGATCCGCATGCATGCGGCCAAAGGAGCAACTCTAAAAGGCCTAGAGAATACAGAGCATGCGCCTCTCTTCTCTCCCTTTGTGCTAGTCATTTTGGCAAATTAATGGAAGATAGTGGTTCCGGCCGAAAAGCCAGATGTGGATTCCAATGTTCAGTGGCCAAGTCTATGGTTCTCTATGTTGGCGAAAGAATGTTCAGCCTAAGAAAAGGTCTTATAAGAGTGCATCTGATCCGGACTGATGACAACTGCCGGGAAGCAAAATCTCAACGGACTGAGAAACCGCTCCAGAGAGTGGCAGTTTTGCAGTTTATTTTATACATTAGAATCAAAGGAGGAGACATAAGGAGGGTTACGTGAAATCCATTGGTGGTAGATTAAGGGGGCAGGAGAAAGCAAAGCGAGAACTCTCTGGGATTGGATAAAAAGCAAGATGTAGAGACACTTCTTTGATACTGCTGAGTGCAGGATAGTTAATGTTTACAGCGCACAGAGAGGATATGTGGGGGACAATATAGCAATGTGGTGTCCTGCCCTGCTGCCCCTGGTTGTACCTTTGATGGGGCTAGAAAATGACTCAGACATTTCAAAGGTACGTTATCTTAGATTCTCAAAAACAAAGACAATGTCAAAGGTAAAGATTGACCCATGACAGGAAAGTTAAAGGCCCAGGAAGTGGCTACCACTGTGACCCACTTTGAGCCAGGAATTTCTACCTGCGGGCTTCCCTGCATGGTCACGTTAGGACTCTGGGTTTGAAAAGCCACCGTGCAGGACTTGCAGGTTTAGTACGTGGCCTCTTTTTCATCCACATCTACTTAAGACAAAAATGTTTCAAATGAAAAGAAATCATGACTATCTTTCTCACTTAAGAAAAAGCTAGTAAAAAGCAGGAGGAAACATAAAGCCTAAAGTTAACATTATTTCAGTTGAAGTAAGAATGAGATAACAAGGTAATTTTGTGAGCCAATGCCAGCCCAATAAATTCCATTAAGTAAATAGAAATAAATAAATACAGATCTACTAGTACATATTAGCACACTCTGCTAAACTGGAGAGCAGAGGGTGGGGAGGGCTGATGGAACAGAGGGACCCAGGACACCTGGACCAATGCTGTAGAGGTCATTTTAACAAAATTCCTCCAGAGGGACAGTACTGTCGATCACATTGCTTTTAAAATCCTTTCACCCCTGACATGCCTGACCCTGCCAGGTCAATGTTCCCTGGTTGAAGGGATGTGTAAAATGACCCTCCTAATGTCCAAGCACGTGAACCAGCTCCTAATGGCCTACTCATCCTTACCATGGTTTCTAGTTCCTGGGAAAAAGCCTCAGGCCGTGGTGAAACAGTCCATTTTAACTTCCAGCTTAGCACTCTTTCTCTGCTTCTTTATGACATATCCAGCTCTATCGTGGGCACAATTTGTCAGTCATTATGACACAAAATTGTTCACCAGAGCACAAAATAAATGACAAGAGAGATGGGCCAGAGTAAACAACACAATTTGCAGAACACACTCGATTTCATGAGGATTTCATGATGCAGCGCTCACTGAGAAGAGCATTAGCAGTTTGGTAGCTGCATCAGTGTTGTTTAGTCCACAATGTTCAGCTGCACTATTCAGCCTCATTAGAGGGAAATCATTGGCTGGCCTCAAAGGATGAGGAAACTACATATTAATAGTGGCCTGTAGTGGATCATACAGTGTGTATGTGCATATGGTATCTTTCTCTCACTCTCCTCCACCTTCTTTCTCTCTCTCTCCATATATATTGTATGTTTATATGGACTATATACATATGAAATATATATATATGTATATATATACATATATACATATATATATATTAGAATGGACTATATAGACAGTGGATAAGTATTCACACACATGCAACACATAAACACATACATATATGTGTATATTTATACATAATTTAAAAAATATTTTAACACTCAAATATCATTATCTAAAGGGATATGCTTGAATTTAGAAATAAAGTGAAAAAGTCAGAAGCTGGTAAGGGTCAATATATGCAGAAATGCATAAACTATGTGATATATAATGTTGGACAAGTTGGAATTAATAGTAAAAATTCCTGCAACATGGTCATTAAACTCCAAAATTTATATTGATTTTATCAGTAGAATACTTATTCCTTATAAATATAAATAAACTAGAGAAACAAGATTCTCAATCCAAATTTGTGCACAATTTAAAGAAATCTAAAGATATCTACAGACAAGATTGCCACATCCAACATGTGTGTGAAACTGTGTGTTACTTCACTTAATAGAAGCACTTTTGAAAAGTACACATATGTCACATTTTCCTAAATCAAGTTATGTTTACCAGTAAATCACTGATTTAGAGTTTCTGACTTTGAGAAACTGAAAGACAAAACTTTTGTAAACCAATTTTAAATTCTATAAAGTCAGATTTTCATATGAAACATTTGTTTATATTAGTATGCATGTATATTTAAAACATTTATATTTAAGGTCAATGCTATTGATATCATGACATGTAGGTTACACATCAATGATGCATTTATTTTTTAAATATATTTTTATTGATTTCAGAGAGGAAGAGAGAGACAGAAACATCAATGATGACAGAGAATCACTGATCAGCTGCCTCCTGCATGACTCACACTGGGGATAGAACCCGATACCCAGGCATATGGCCTGATCAGGAACCGAACCCATAACCTCCTGGCTCCTAGGTCGATGCTCAACTACTGAGCCACACCAGCCAGGCCAATGATGCATTTCTTAGGTAATATATAACGCTCATTACAGTGAACTCAAACTAGGTGGCCAGCACCGGGTTTGCTAGTGAATAAGGTCCCATTGCTTCCATTTGGGACTTTAGAGTCTAGTGGGTGAGGCAAATGTATGAATAATCCAGTGCAATGTAATAAAGGCTGTACTAGAAATGTGAGCATTTTCCTGTGGGCATCCAGAGTGAGTAGTAACTAATTCAGGCTGTGAGTGTCAGGAGAGGTTTCACAGAAGAGGTGGTGTGAGTTCTGAAGGATGAGTAAAAGTTTTAGGCAATGAAGGATATGACAAAGCAAGCCGGTGCTGTATAGAAGGCATGCATCAAAGAGTTATAAAAGCCCATTTGTGGTTGAGAAAGAGTGGGTGTTCCTTGATGCTATAACATGGGGACCTTCATGAAAGGAGCAAGGGGTAAAACTACTTGAAGAGACAGGTTGGGATCATTTGCTGTAAAGGGCCATCTATCAAGGAGCTTTATGCAATTTATAGGCACCAAGAAATCGGGGAAGACATTTGGATAGAGGAGTGATATGATCAGAGCCTTGAATTATCCCAACTCCACTCCCAGTCATGCTGGGAGAAGTATTTAACATCTTTATGCCAGCTGTCTTTTACCTGGATGTCAGTTATCTTTACCATGGAGTCAGTTGACTTTTACATCTTTACAGGACTTAGGAGAATACCTGACACAGAGGAAGAGAAGAAGTAGTGAGGGAGATAGGAGATGAGGAAGGAAGGGAGAAAAAGAAAGGAGAAGAGAAGAGGAAAGAAGGGAGGAAGACTGAGAGACAGAGAGATAGATAGGGAGGGAGAAATATTTCACTAGGGAAAAAATGTAAGCAAAGGACAGATTTAGAAGAGACCTCTTGATGAGGAAGAGATGAAGCAATGGTTGTCACTGTAGCATTTGGAATATTTCAGTTCATGGGTAACATCAAGCCTCCTGAGATTTACTGGCCTTCCTCAAGAACTAATTTTCCCTTTTTTGGTCTCGTTACCAGTTCTTGTCCATGTTTGTCTTCACTATACCCCTTCCTGGACCTCCCCAGAACATAAGACTGTTTGTCTGACTACACATTTAAA